ATCATCTGTCTCAGTGGACAATCATTGCACTGGATCCCAATGTTAATCTTATGAACATCAAATACAATGCAGCTGAAATGAGAGCTCTGGGTACTGACAGGCAGGTGGCAGAGGAAAAGGAGTGACAAGAAACAACAGAGAAAATCTACGTGAGGGGAGCAGGTGTGTGTGGACACTTTAAGGAAAAAAAAAGATGACAAGCGGAGGAATTTGCCAAGTACCTTTAGGAATATGAAGAAGAAGCGTTAGAGAAACGTGCTGTTTGGAAATCTTCAGACACGCAGCATTTATCCCAGATCATCTCTCTCTCTCTCTCTCTCTCTCTCAAACACACACACACACACACACACACACACACACACACACACACACACACACACACACACACACACACACACACACACACACACACACACACATAAGAGCTGTGCTGTGAAAGCAGGTGTAACTTGGGCTCAAATGGATCTTTAAAGGATTTTTCTAGGTACAGGGAGTTGGCAGGAGTTAGTTGATCTCATTAACATTAAAAATACTTCCTCACACACACCGACACACACCAAGACACACAAACATCATACATGTCAGTCTATCTCCTAAAAGCAGATGTGCTGGTTCCACATTTCGTGTCAACCCAATACACCCCTACAGAGTCACTAGCCTGTGAGAATGCCAGAGAGACACAAACAATTCTGTGTGAATACGCATCACTCAGTTCTCAGGAATTACCAAAAAAAAACTCAACCACAAACAGCAATTTACAGAACCCTTCACACACACACACACACACACACACACACACACACACACACACACACACACACACACACACACACACACACACACAAAATAAGCATTTCATATGAAAATCCATTCACATCTTAAAACCATTGTAGCTTCATGGTTTTGCATGTCACACAAACAGGAACATAAGAACACACCAGCACTGACTATTAGATAACACCAGAATCCAGCAGACCCGCCAGCAGGAACACGATTTCCATATCACTCACATTATGTCCCAGGGTTCCCATACTTGGCTTCTCCTATCTTTAGACTCTCTAGAAATAATTAAAAGAAATAAACACATGGAAGGAGGACAGCTTACTCTGCTCACTTTTAGAAATAGGCTAAAGACTCATGAAGGTTTTTTTTTTCTTTCTTTAAAACATAAAGACAGAGTTCTGGTGTAGTTTATCTGTTTTTATCTGGATGTAGCAGATAGATAAAAGTAAAAAAAGGAAAAAAAAGGTTTTTATTTTTTTTAAGGAAAACCTGTTTTAGAGAAATGGTTCTAAATGATTTTATTAGGGATTATTGATTGCTTTGGTACACTAAGGACTAAACAGATTAAAATTTCCAAATAGTTTATCAGATTTTTACTCTTGATTTTTACTGTTACTGTTGAATGGTCGATTATTAGGATTTATTAGATAGATAGATAGATAGATAGATAGATAGATAGATAGATAGAGAGATACTTTATTGATCCTGAGGGAAATTAAAAGCATCCAGTAGCAGGTTACAAAGACATACATGTCATGAAACATTGGTTACAAATTAAACCCCCCCCCCCCCCTCCCATACATATATATTAACCCGAAAAAAGATTTAAAGAATACCCCTAGATGAAACAAACTTAAACTGTGCAAATTAAAAATAGACTTATACAAGAAATGTACATAACCCGTGCAGGGATAAAATATATATATATATGTGCATGCAATTTAAAACAAGAACCAATAAACAGTTGAGGGAAAAAAAATCTGTAATTAGACCTGAATATGAAAAAAAAAAAAAAAAAAAGTGTTGACCTTCTGAAGTTGGGTTGTTTATGTATGTACAGCAATGTTTAAAAAAGCAGATAATTATCAAAAAACAGACATTAAATTACAGGCAGTGCAAACATTAAATTAAAGGTGCTATTTAAGTGCAGTATTAGCATTCTCTGTTATTATATCCAAATATTGTCAAGTTCATACCTATAAAGCTTCCTGAATTGAAATTGAATTGAGATATAGACAGAGACATTCAGCTTGTATTTCTCTTAAAAAAATATGTAAATATTGAGTGGTTCATCTTAGCAATATACAATCTTTGATGATTGGAAAACATCCTCGGCGCAGGCGCAGGAAGAATCTGCTCGCGACTTTCGTGTTTTTCGGTAATTAGCGGCGTAGTTATCGGTGTTGAACGTTACCGTCAGCTTTTTAAACCTCGACACTTTAAAGCCGCATTTCAACGTGTTAGAGCCTAAATAAGACAAGGTTTGTTGCTTAGCTTGTTTAATACTTTTGTCGATACTTTAAAAGAGGATTAAATAGTTACTGAACTATTCTAACGAGATTTAACTTGAGGAAAAGAAAACAAACATATCGAAGGTCAATGTTGCCTAATGGTTGATCTTGTCTAATTCAGCTTTATGTGGCTAATGATAAACTTTTTTTCCCCTCTACCATATCAGTATTAATGTTATTATCAATGAATGTTATTTTTTTTTAAATTATTATTATTATTTTTTACCTTTAAACCCTTTTTATTTGGGATAGGTATACAACAAACTGTACACATAATGTCAACATGAACACATACATGCATGTCTGCATACATAGGCCTCCATACATACACCGAAAAACAAAGCAAAAAATTAATGTTATTATCAATTAGTTTATAAATGCTCACATATATTATTAGGTTCTAGGCTTACAGCACATGTAGAGCCCACAGTAGGCTACAAGTGATTTTTGTTGTTGTTGTTGTTGTTGTTATATGCTGTAGCTAAAGGGAAATATGAACAGCAAAAATTCGGCTAGTATATCCTGTTTTGGGTGTTTTGTCTATGTGCTGCATTTCTGCAAATGAAGAAATCCAGGTAGAAACCATCACAACATGTCAAACAGACATGGACTAGTCTCAATGGACTTCACCTGTACACATATTGTGGTGTAAGATTAAGCCTGCAGAAGATCAAAGTTGTGCAGGCAAAAGATGTGTGGTCTTTTAGGTGAGGAAGATCAGATTTAGCTCAGAATAGGGGAACCGAGATGAGAAGGGCAGAAGATCAAACAGCACACATGTTTTTGCACTACATGCCATTTATTACTGGTTAAAAAAAAAAAAGGCACTTCTCTGTGAAAATCTGAACAGGGCAGAGCAGGGTTTCAGGGTAGCAGATTTAAGAGGTATGATGCTCGGGAATATTCCCAGCTCAGTCTTTTCATGGATGGGATTAGTTCTGTCAATGCTCTGAACAGAGTACACGCTTTCAGGCACTTTCTATAGGACATGATGTTATTTCTGCCTCCTTTTTGATTTGAGATCTGATATGATGCTGTTGACGCCTCATCATTTTTTGATAGTTAGAATCAGCAGGGCTAGTTTTACTGTGTGTGTGTGTGTGTGTGTGTGTGTGTGTGTGTGTGTGTGTGTGTGTGTTTAAACCCGGCTACAGGCAAGTGATGTAAGGCAGACCCAGTTGCAGATCTATGGCAACATCACAACAGGAAATTGTAATATTCCATCCTCGCTGAAATTAATTCATCACTCAGAAAGGAGGCAATATGCAGACAAACTCTTCCCTGTAACTTTATAGAATATGTGCAGCCAATCCTCAGAAGCACGCTGATTCAATTTATCTGTTTCAGGCTATGTTGTTTACAGGCCAGAGAAAAGAAGGCTCCCTGTTGTAAGGTCGTACAGCCAAGAATAAATATAGAAATAGAAATGTATAGGAATAAGATCTAAGGTCTAAGAGATATTGTGCTTCAGCCTTCAGGATACTTACATTAAGTTCATAACAGAAGAAGTTATCAGGGAATCTTGAGTCATTTGTTGTTAAAAGTAGATCTGAAAAGGTAGCAAATTTGATACTATGTCTAATTGCCTAATTAATCAAGCATTAAGTCCATTATCTTTATATTAGTATTTGGTTTCCCGCCCAAAATGCGTCCTCATGGCAACGTCAGTGTTATAACAAACAGTCTGTCACAGTTTTGTGGAGCGATTTGTTGCGTTGTTTTCGTTGTCAACACTTTTCCCATTTCAACTGTCTGTCCTCTTCCTCTGAGGTGGAGGACAGGGATGGGCAAAGTGTTGGTTCCTAACTGAAGAGGCACAGACAAGAAAAGGCAGAAATACATTCCATAATGAAAGGGTTTCAGATAGCGTGATTGACTCGTTGGAGCGTAAAGCGTTATCCCCTCTTACACTTTTTCCACATCCCTGATTACATGACTGACTCTTGCCATTCAGCATCCACACGGAACGTCCGTTTACATCAGAGACTCTTTAAATTGTTAAAAAAAAAAAAAAGATGCACTTTTTCCCCTGATATCCAAAATGCGTCTATAAAAAGTTTAGAGCCCCCCCCCCACTGAGCTTCAGATGGGAATATAAACAAGTGTTGAAGCTTGACTTTGTAACGGACAGAAAATCAATCTGCAACCATCTTTTGATCGCTGAATACTCTGCGCATTTGATCCCGCTTCTGAAGTGCGTTCATTTTTTGATTTGATCTTTTATTCCTTTGTCGGTGCAGGCAATAGCAGTGGCCAGAGTTCATAGGTTGTTGCTGACTCTGGAGCACTGCATATGCTCCTATTCTGCATCTTTTTTTTTTTTCATGCGTCTGTAATGACACAATTTTCCCCACAGGAATCATTAGTTTCTGTTTCGGGTATAGTCGTGTCCTTGCATCACAACACTTGAGGTCTGAGTGTTCGGTGGAAGGGAGTTTTAGATCGCAGAGCACTACTCTCAGTGAATCACTAAGCTGCAATGTCCTTATTAATAGTTCAAAGTTCAGACAGCTTTAAATTATCAATGACAAGTCAACAACTTTTATTAATTCACCACATATTGAAAACATATTCTTGCTTGCATACTCTGGTATTTACATACTTAAACAGATATTATGAGGACTAAAAAGGGCCGTTAATTTGTTCATACTAAATTCTGCATCATCTTTTGTACTGCTCTCAGTTATTTTGTTTTCTTTATTTCAGATGTCCATGGACAACAGGAAGAGGCAATCAGGTTCCTCCAACTCTATTAACACGGGTTACTGGTCCTCTTTGTTTCTACGGCAACCAGCCAGAGTTCTGATTGTAGAAGCACTTCCACCCTGGTGGTCCGAGACATGTGCAGTCCTCTGTGATGCCCTGGACAACTTCCTGTCCCTGGCTTGTAGTCTGGATGGACCCTGTAGGATACCACTACTCAGCCTGTATGCCATCAGCAGGCAGCAGGAGTGTCTGCTGCCATTTGTGGTAAAAAAAAAAAGTCTAGTTAAATTCTGTCACTCAAATTATTTCCAATTTTATCATCGTTATTTTTTGCCTCTGTAATTTATTAGCAGGTCCGTGGCAACGTAGCCAGGCTGCGTTCCTGTGTCGACGAGCTGAGATCTATTCCAGGTGAAGGTTGCATCAGAGGAGCAGCCAAAGGAGGCGAGCTGCTGCGACAGGCAGTGCTGGACAGTCTTCAACAGTTCAAACAGTACACCAGACATACAGCTAATGGCACCCATGCTAACAACACATCTTTGGAGGTAAGCAAAGTTCACGCACAATCAGCACAAGATTTTTAGGTACAGCACCTTGACCTCATAGGCAATATACTTACATATAGAAGCTACACTCACACTACAGTTCTCAAGAAATCTTAACATAAGGTACTCGTATGACATAACCCTCTTGCTGCCTTTATAAAGAAATGCATCTCAAGTTCACTCTTAATGACTGGAAATGTAGCCGATCTTAGGCCAGCATTTCATTCTAAACAATCCTTTTTTGGGTTTTTGGAGGCTTTTCAAATGTTTATGAAATTCAGATATTTCTATTTATATATTCAATAATCTGATCACACACATGCCAGCGCGTCCCTTTCGTCTGATTTATGAGCTCTCTTAACAGTCCATTTAATGGCTGAAAACTCTTGACATCTTTTATCAGACAGTCTACCTAAAACCATCTCATGTTCATTTCAAATGCAGCAAATGGGCTCTATTCATTGGCCGCTGAGCCATCTGTCGACTGAGAGTAGTAAAAGTGACACGAGTAAAGCTTTGGTAGAATTTCTAATCAGCTATCATCACATTCAAGTGGAAAATCCATTGAGTTAGAATTTAAACCACTTCATTTTCTAAGCTGCACCCACATTTGTACGGTCCGTGTGTAAACGCTTCAAAGCCAGTCCATGTCCAATTTCACAACTGTGCAAAGCCTTTTTATGATTCAAGTGGATGGAATTGTTTAGATCAATAAAATATTATAGCTTTTCATTTGATGGGAACATTTGTTAGAACTTTTAATGCTCAGAATGTTACACAGTTCAAAGCCAGATTTGGGCTGAGATCCCGTGCATGTTCCAGGCTCAAACTTTGACACAAATACAACAATTTAGATGTCAGTCATGACAGTTTAGTGGAATTGGAAAATTAGCTGATATTTCAGAAAGCAGACACTGCCTTTCCTGTTAAATGTGAACCTATCCCCTCTGGTACAAGGCTCTGGGCTATTAATGAGGATTTCTCAAATCCAACCAGAATATTATTAAGAAGCTCTGGACAGATGATTACACTAAGACCCACTGTTTCCGACAGCAGAAGATATGAATAGCACTGTTAGGAGAAAGAGACACTAAGCAGACACATGGCCCTGTGTGTGTGTGTGTGTGTGTGTGTGTGTGTGTGTGTGTGTGTGTGTGTGTGTGTGTGCTGCTGATAGACTTACATAATGCCTTTTCTTTTTTCATGTGTTTGTGTCTCCTTTCATGATTTGCATCGGGCCTCAAGAGCAGATTCTACTTTTGGCCAAACAGCAGGAAGAAGAGACATAAATAATCTCCTTATAATCATCATCTAGCGCTACTTTTAATGTGCTCGACTAACGTTATTTGATCTTTTTTCCCACATTACGTAACATTTAACAGTGTAGCAGCAAAATTTAAGTATAATATAGTTAGTGTGTAGAATTTCCTCTTTTCTGCATGTGTTGAAGTTTGTTTTACTAGGAGCAGGACATCCCAGTTCTGAGGTCATGTGTTTCTTTTCTTGAATTTTGTGATTTACGGTTCGTAAATCACAAATGTCCTTGAGGTCAAACAGAACCACAACAGTCGGTTCCAAAGAATGCTTTGCTGTGGTGATGTTGTGGTCAGTTATTCTGATGATATGACAACTTGAAACACAAACTTCTTCCTTCATAACACCGCCTGTAACTATTCCTTTTGGAAAATAGTTGTGGTGAGGAACAGCAATGTGGTTTTTAAGTAGTATAATCAAAACAAATTGTTGTTAAAGGGGTGTTCTCCAATGTGGCAGTCTTGGTTTTTTTTTCTCTTTTAAATTTGAAGTGAGGCCTTCATAATTTACAATGTTTTCTGATGAGGAGCAACTGTCAAAGTAAATGCCTTGTGTTCTCAAATCAGATGTCACATAGCTCCAGCAACACTTGTAGTATGAAGATCAACTTTATTAACTTTATTAGACTGTCATGTTTTGGCTTGTGGTCTTCATCAGAGTCCTGATTCATGGTGTTGCAATAGTTTTAAACCCAAAAATAAGTGGGAACAATTAAATGAGACCCTGGAATAGAAGCTTGACCCTGCTAATTCTCTCACATCTACACTCTCACCACCATCATCACCTATTGAAGGTGCTGTGACGTTTATTACTTTTAGGAAGTTAATTGGTGTACTCATTCTGCACAACTTTTAAGATGGAAATGGGTAGAGGTTAGGGATTTTAAAAGTTTAAAGGGAGGGAGGGCTGTATTCATAGACAGGACAGTGGATTGAGTCGGAAATCTTGGAGAGCGAAGACTACATCCTCCGTACATGGGGCGCACACTAGTCTTTGAGTTGTTTTTGTCCAAGGTTTTTTGGAAGGCATTTATATTTCTATTTTCTCTTTGTTCACAGGTGACTGTGGTGACCAGCCAGGCAGGGCGGGGCATTGTTCGCCATTTGGAGATGGGACTCAAAGACGCTGACCTGGTGTCCCTGAAGCGGCTCCTTGTGGTACAGATCTATAGTGCAGCAGAATGGGGCCAGGAAAACCTCTCAACTGAAAACAAACACTCGGAGCCTGAAGGTAGGATGCGCAAACACAGAACGTTGTATTCGATCACAAACTGACACAGGATTAGTTCAGATACTATTAATGCAAGGCTGGAAAACAAACACAGATGCTCACTCTGCTGAAGTGAACATGCAAGGACCATTAACAAACACAGTAACTACCAAAAGGGGGCCTGCCATCTATTCTTTTTCTCAAGAACTTAATCAATATGAGTCTCTAATACTTTGTCACTTTCAAATGTGAAAACAAAAAATGTACCACTGTCTCTTTAATGTGTAGAACTAAGCATAGTCTTAAAGAAAAGACATGTTTGGAATGTAACCTTGGCAAAATGGTTATGAAGATACAACAGTTTAATGATGGTTAGGCTGACATCCTTTTGGCTGCTGTAATGCCACCGGGAGTAGTTCTCTGAGTTCCTCAACAGGGTTTACAGCACTGAGTGTTTGGAACAGAGCTGTCACTTGATCTCTTTGATATTACATCTTGCACCCTCTTGATTATGTTGTTTATATTATGTTACCAGTGGTTCTAAAAGCCAGTGATGTTTTATTAAATCTCTTTTATTAGAAGTGGTTCTTTCCAGTAAAGAAAACATGATGGTTGCTACCATAACATCTCCACTCATAGTGTTGGTTGCACTAGTGTATGAGTAAATGAGCACTTTTCTTTGTCTTAGTTTGCATTGATACCCGTTGGCTTTGTGATATATACAGTAGGGTGGGTAAAAGAAGATTGAAATCAGGCATTATCCCATAAATATCACGTTAACTATTTACATGGGTGGAGTATGAATTTGTTATAATTTTGTACCAAAGGAAGACTTGGAAGCATGTAGTTGTATTGGTTAAGGTTATGGACATAATGGTCCTCGTAAGTATGTATACAGATGTGTCTGTGAATCTGAGAGTTCAAGCCCTTGTAAGGCATCCTGTTTTTGTTCAAACTCAACTAATCCTGAATCTCTAGCCGACTTAATGACTGTACAGTTTATCACCAGGGAAAAGAGAGTATTGGGTAGGCAAACACAGACTATGAAGAGCAGCGTCAGAAAGACATTTGGATAATTAAAGCATCAGTGGTTTAGATTTTCCTACATGCAAAGCATTCGCTCTATCACTGAGCTACGTCCCCATTTCCTATTGACCACGATCGGTCATACAGTCATACAGAGGCAATTATTTCATCGCACAATAAGAAACAGTATAAAGGATGACTTACATGGATGTCGATGGGGATAGAACCAAGAGCTTTTCCTGTACATGTGCTTGTATGTCAACAGAAGAATGTTATAAAGACACTTGCAGATGCTGGGGATTGAACCCAGGACCTCATACATGCGAAGCATGCATTCTACCACTGAGCTACATCCCCATATTTTCTAGGTCTTAATCGGTATTTAATACAGAGGCCATCATTTAGCCATGCAAGAAGAAAGAGTACTGAGGTTGACGTCGATGGGGATAGATTCAAGAGCTTTCCCTGTATATGTGCTTGTAGGTCAGCAGAAGAATGTTATAAAGACACTTGGAGATGCTGGGGATTGAACCCAGGACCTCATACATGCAAAGCATGCGCTCTACCACTGAGCTACATCCCCATATTTTCTGGATCTGGATCGGTATTTAAAACAGAGGCAATAATTTAGCCATGCAAGAAGAAAGAGTTGACTAATTGATGTCGATGGGGATAGAACCAAGAGCTTTTCCTGTATATGTGCTTATAGGTCAACAGGTAAGCTTGTAGCTCAGTGGTAAAGCATGCGCTCTACCACTGAGCTACATCCCCATATTTTCTAGCTCTGGATCGGTATTTGAAACAGAGGCAATAGTTTAGCCTCGTAGGTCAACAGAAGAACGTTGTAAAGACACTTGGAGATGCTGGGGATTGAACCCAGAATCTCAAACATGCAAAGCATGCACACTACCACTGAGCTACATCCTGATATTTTCTAGATCTGGATCGGTATGTAATACAGAGGCAATCATTTAGCCATGCAAGAAGAAAGAGTTGACTAATTGATGTCGATGGGGATAGAACCAAGAGCTTTTCCTGTATATGTGCTTATAGGTCAACAGGTAAGCTTGTAGCTCAGTGGTAAAGCATGCGCTCTACCACTGAGCTACATCCCCATATTTTCTAGATCTGGATCGGTATTTAAAACAGAGGCAATAGTTTAGCCTCGTAGGTCAACAGAAGAACCTCATACATGCGAAGCATGCGCTCTACCACTGAGCTACATCCCCATATTTTCTAGATCTGGATCGGTATTTAAAACAGAGGCAATAATTTAGCCATGCAAGAAGAAAGAGTTGACTAATTGATTTCGATGGGGATAGAACCAAGATCTTTTCCTGTATATGTGCTTGTAGGTCAACAGAAGAAAGTTATAAAGACACTTGGAGATGCTGGGGATTGAACCAGGGACCTCACACATGCAAAGCATGCACACTACAACTGAGCTACATCCTGATATTTTCTAGATCTGGATCGGTATTGAATACAGAGGCAATCATTTAGCCATGCAAGTAGAAAGAGTACTAAGGTTGACGGGGATAGAACCAAGAGCTTTACCTGCATATGTGCTTGTAGGTCAACAGAAGAATGTTATAAAGACACTTGCAGATGCTGGGGATTGAACCCAGGACCTCATACATGCAAAGCATGCGCTCCACCACTGAGCTACATCCCCATGTTTCCTAGATCTGGATCGGTAGTTTAGCCATGCAAGTAGAAAGAGTACTAAGGTTGACGGGGATAGAACCAATAGCTTTTCCTGTATATGTGCTTGTAGGTCAACAGAAGAATGTTATAAAGACACTTCGAGATACTGGGGATTGAACCCAGGACCTCATACATGCAAAGCATGCGCTCTACCACTGAGCTACATCCCCATCTTTTCTAGATCTGGATCGGTATTTAAAACAGAGGCAATAATTTAGCCATGAAAGCGTACTAAGTTTGACTAATTGATGTCGATGGGGATAGAACCAAGAGCTTTTCCTGTATATGTGCTTGTAGGTCAACAGAAGAATGTTATAAAGACACTTGGAGATGCTGGGGATTGAACCCAAGACCTCATACATGCAAAGCATGCGCTCTACCACTGAGCTACATCCCCATGTTTTCTAGGTCTGGATCGGTATTTAAAACAGAGGCAATAGTTTAGCCATGCAAGTAGAAAGAGTTGACTAATTGATGTAGATGGGGATAGAACCAAGTACTTTTCCTTTATATGTGCTTGTAGGTCAACAGAAGAATGTTATAAAGACACTTGGAGATGCTGGGGATTGAACCCAGGACCTCATACATGCGAAGCATGCGCTCTACCACTGAGCTACATCCCCATGTTTTCTAGATCTGGATCGGTATTTAAAACAGAGGCAATAATTTAGCCATGAAAGCGTACTAAGGTTGACTAATTGATGTCAATGGGGATAGAACCAAGAGCTTTTCCTGTGTATGTGCTTGTAGGTCAACAGGTAAGCTTGTAGCTCAGTGGTAAAGCATGCGCTCTACCACTGAGCTACATCCCCATATTTTCTAGATCTGGATCGGTATTTAAAACAGAGGCAATAGTTTAGCCTCGTAGGTCAACAGAATAATGTTATAAAGACACTTGGGATTGATCCCAGGATCTCAAACATGCAAAGCATGCACACTATCACTGAGCTACATCCTGATATTTTCCAGATCTGGATCGGTATTTAATACAGAGGCAATCATTTAGCCATGCAAGTAGAAAGAGTACTAAGGTTGACGGGGATGGAACCAAGAGCTTTTCCTGTATATGTGCTTATAGGTCAACAGAAGAATGTTATAAAGACACTTGGAGATAGAACCCAGGACCTCATACATGCAAAGCATGCGCTCTACCACTGAGCTACATCCCCATATTTTCTAGATCTGGATTGGTATTTAAAACAGAGGCAGTAGTTTAGCCTCGTAGGTCAACAGAAGAATGTTATAAAGACACTTGGAGATGCAACCCAGGATCTCAAACATGCAAAGCATGCACACTACCACTGAGTTACATCCCGATATTTTCTAGATCTGGATCGGTATTTAAAACAGAGGCAATAATTTAGCCATGATAGAGTACTAAGGTTGACTATTTGATGTTGACGGGGATCGAACCAAGAGCTTTTCCTGTATATGTGCTTGTAGGTCAACAGAAGAATGTTATAAAGACACTTGGAGATGCAACCAAGGACCTCATGCATGCGAAGCATGTGCTCTACCACTGAGCTACATCCCCATATTTTCTAGATCTGGATCGGTATTTAAAAGAGAGGCAATAATTTAGCCATGAAAGAGTACTAAGGTTGACTAATTGATGTCGGTGGGGATAGAACCAAGAGATTTTCCTGTATATGTGCTTGTAGGTCAACAGAAGAATGTTATAAGGACACTTGGAGATAGAACCCAGGAACTCATACATGCAAAGCATGCGCTCTACCACTGAGCTACATCCCCATGTTTTCTAGATCTAGAACGGTATTTAAAACAGAGGCAATAGTTTAGCCATGCAAGAAGAAAGAGTACTGAGGTTGACGGGGATAGAACCAAGAGCTTTTCCTGCATATGTGCTCGTAGGTCAACAGAAGAATGTTATAAAGACACATGGAGAAGCTGGGGATTGAACCCAGGACCTCATACATGCAAAGCATGCGCTCTACCACTGAGCTACATCCCCATGTTTTCTAGATCTAGAACAGTATTTAAAACAGAGGCAATAGTTTAGCCATGCAAGAAGAAAGAGTACTGAGGTTGACTAATTGATGTCGATGGGGATAGAACCAAGAGCTTTTCCTGTATATGTGCTTGTAGGTCAACAGAAGAATGTTATAAAGACACTTGGAGATGCTGGGGATTGAACCCAGGACCTCATACATGCAAAGCATGCGCTCTACCACTGAGCTACATCCCCATATTTTCTAGGTCTGGATCGGTATTTAAAACAGAGGCAATAGTTTAGCCATGCAAGTAGAAAGAGTTGACTAATTGATGTA